ATGTGGTTCAGAGTTCTGGGACCATCCCCTGAACCTGCTTGGTCGGGTATTCTGTGTTGTTGTTGGCCGAGCTCTCTGCTATACGTCCACCCGATCCGCCATCTTGTTTGATCCCCTTGTCTTTGATCTTATTGCTTTCAGTTAATAGTTCAAATTGCATTGTTACAGAACAAAAAATAATTACTTTATGTTAATTCAATTATATTGTTGAGCTTTTGTTGAATAAAGGATAGAAATCATTTTGTAGTTATTATTCCAGACCAGAAATGTGAATTACTGAGACTATGTTGTTGGTTAAATGCTGTCATGTCAGTTCCAATTCATAGCAAGCCTCCGTAGGGTTTCTGAGGAGTGACCAGTGGGGTTTGAACCGCCGATCTTGCAGTTAGCAGTCCATTGCTTAAACTATAGCGAGTGTCACACCAGTTTTGAAAAAAACTTAATTTTACCTTTATCAAAAGTTTCTGGTGACATCAAAATGTTCTTTTTAATGTCTAAAAATATCTAGAAGAAAACCATGAAAAAGAACAGACTTTTAAGGCATTTTAAAAATGGAGTCCATACTTCCATACTTAATATACTTTTCATTCATACTCATGGAAGATTTGTGGATTTTGGTGATAAATTTTAGGCATGTAACCCTAGAATATTTTGAAGAAAGGATAGCTTTTACGAAAGTATTTATTTTGTTGGAGTCTTTAGGAGTTTCACATGGTTATTGTGCCTGACTTCTAATGAAAGGTTGGGCATTTGTGTCTGCCAGAGGTGCCTGGAAAGAGATTTGGTGAATTACTTCTGAAAAATCACAGTTCTGCTCTGGCACACACAGGGCTGCCATGAGCCAGCATTAGCTGAATGGCAAATGGTTTTTGGTTTTAGGTCTGCATGGTTGAGTGGATTTAATCTCTTTTTACTTTATTCCTCTTAATAGTTTGCTTGTGTATGATTTTATATGTTTTCATCTTCTTTGAGATGTATTTGTGAACTTTTAATTTTTACTAGTAATCTAGGAATTTTATGTATAAAAAATAGACTCCATTAACCATTGTTACTCTTAGCAGTATAATTTTGCAGGAATGAAAGTATGTTAATTCTCATTTATACAGTTTTTATTAGGGGTTTCAGCACTAAGTTTGTAGATATTCTTTAATTCCTTTGAGTTGTTGTATGCTAGGAATGAGGGATCAATTTCGTAAAATGGAAGTATTTGTTAATCAATTGATATACAGATTTAAAGACGAATATCTTAATTTTTCTAATTAATATTTAATAACTACAGATTAAACCATTTTCTCTTTATGTTCATATTATAGTCTTAGAGGCTAATGCTCTAGAATAATAATTGGTGGGGTGCTTTGTTTTTCACTAGGATGCAGGACAGAAACGATTTGGAGCCGTTTCCTGTAATGTTTGTGGAATGCTTTACACAGCTTCAAATCCAGAAGATGAAACACAGCATTTACTCTTTCACAACCAGTTCATAAGTGCTGTAAAATATGTGGTAAGTGGAATTCATACCTTCTAAAATGCAAACTCAGGTAATTAATCAAGAGATTAATGAGATAGATGATGACCAAATTTAAATCATTGGTAAATTTCTGTTTTTAGGAAGCAATTTGTTTATTGCATTAAGCCCTCGCAGTAAATACTGGCATATTTTTAAAATAAAGCCAAACATAAAAACCAGCTAATTCATTCTGGTTGGTTTGTGTTGTGGGATTTTACAATTAAATTATGTTTTTAAAGTAGTTTTTGTACCTCTATTGTTTTTTCATATTTATTTTGTTTTTTAATAGTTATTAATTGTTGATGAACATATTTAATACTCATATAGCTTGGCACAACTTTGTATTTTGGGGTTCATAGTGGTAATATATTTTGCCAAATAAGTGGTTTTGAAATTTCCTTTACCTGGGATGAGAGGTTTTCTCTATAAAATTAAGAAGAATTCTAGAAGGTTAAGACCTCAGAATTTTGTAATATACTAAAAAAAATCCCACAAAGTAAATAAATATTTTTAATATAAAATGTCTTACTGTATGTGCATTTGAGGCATAATGATTATTATTTAACATTTGTTTCTTAAAATAGAAAAACTATTATTAATTTTTAATCATTTCAGATATCTTACGAAAATAGTAATTTAATTGCTATTTACCCATATCTGAAATGGAATCTGTTTTTATTGTTTACATGTTACCTTCAGTACTGTACACTCACATTGATAAAGACCTCCAGGATATCTGAACTGAGATCACTAATTCCTATCTATAAGCTTTTCTGTAGACACCAATTGTTGCTTATTTAAAGGTCTTTATTGGCCGTAGTTAAACTCCTATCCCTACCTTTGATTGAAGGTTTTGTACTCATTATCTCATTCATCCGGTTATTTCAATTCAAAATAGAGGCGGGGTTATCTTTTGTTGGTCTCATTGTATTATTTCACCTTCCTTTTCCACATACACTCCTCTTCCCATTTAAGTGAAGTGTGAGTGGGACATATATACTATCTATAGATACATACTGATTTATCTTTTGAAATTTGTACTTTTCCAAGTTGACTAATTTTTTATTCTTTCAACTTGAAAAGAAAAATAGTTCTATTAGCTAGATGATAAAATAATTATAAGGCAAAAAGATTTCCATTTATTTCATGTACATAAACCAGTAGAGGTTAGTCTGAATGAACCCTGTTCAATTTATATTATTTTATTCTTGCTATAGTTTTGTTTCCTAAATTGAACGTAAATACAAAGTAGGTTAAAAAATTTAATTACTCACTCCAAGGAACATTCATAATTTCTGAGAGGAGCAGTAAAATCATTCAGGAAATAGGTACTCTATTCTTACATAGTGTCAAGGGAATTTGGTTTCTAGAAGATCATAGAGTCAACACATTCTAAACAAAATCTAACTCTTGCAAAACTACAAAGCAATGTAACAATATAGGGAAGAATGATTTCTGCCATAGCTACCCCTAATGCCCCTTCCCCCTTGATGGGACAGATCTAAGGGTTATTTATTTTCTGAAATAAACTTAGAAAGAAGGAATTGAGTTTAGCAGTTGGCCATTCTTTCCTAACATTAAAAGCAATAGTCTTATCTTTTTCTGTTTTCAGCTATAGGCATACATAGTCTCTAACATAGAAACTTCTTTAAATTGTAGCATTTTTTTGTTTGTTTTATGAAAAGATAAAAACATTATCTTAAGTATAAGGAGCCCTGGTGGCACAAATTAAGAACTTGGCAGTTAATCAAAAGGTTGTTGGTTCAAACTTATGTAGCTTCTTCATAGGATGAAGACTTGGCAATCTTGCTTGTACAGTGATTACAGCGAGAAACCCTGTGAGAGAGGAGGGGCAGTTCTAGTCTGTCCTTTGCAGTCACCGAGGCAGAATTGACTTTGTGGCACTTATCAAATATTCTGTAGTGATAGCAACTCTGGAATTTGACATTATTTATGGGACATTAAATATTTATTCAGCACCTGGTATTATGCCTTGCACAGGTATTTAAACACTTGAAATGCTGACAAAACATCTAATTTTATTTAGTGTTAGCTTTACCTGCTATGTTGTGTTTCTTGGAGAAAAGCACATTGAAAATAAGTCATTTGGTGTTCTGGCTTGAATTCATTTTAGGTATGCTCTTTTATATGGACAGTGTTCAGGAACTGGTGTGGCACTGTAGGATAAACACTGGACTGCTAATGGCAAGGTTAGCAGTACAAACCAACCAGCATCTCATTGGAAATCTATGGTTACTATGAGTCAGAACCGACTTGATGGCACTTAACAACAACAACAACCACAAGATTATTTTTAAATAGTATGATAAGTTTGAAACAATTGAGTATTAGACAATTAGAAATTATTAAAGTCCTATTTTCAAATAATTAAGATAATATTGAAATTATATACTCATAATAGAAATTGATGCCTACAGAGCCTTTTCTTTGTTGGTTAAAATACTTTTTTTTTTACTTTTTAATATCCTTTAATTCTCTTTGGTTGGAGGTAGGAGAGAGTGTGATGGAGCTCTCTTTCTCTATTCCTTTATTCTACCCTGTTTCTAGCACCATCTAGGGAAGTGCCTTTTGTATCTGACTTATACTATGAGTTGGTACCCACTCAGTGGCACTTAACAATAACAGCTTATCAGGGAACCTTGAAATGCTGCTGTCTGAGCCTACATTTTGAGTTAGATTTACGTACTTCAGTTTTTCTTACAAATTACAGTACTGTTTCTTAAAGGTATAAGGAGAAAGTAGGACAAGTTTTCCTCTGTTGTGGTTAGGTGCTGTTGAGTAGATTTTTGATTCATCATGACCTAATGTGACGAGTTTTTTAGACTGTAATCTTTACGGGAACAGATCATCAGGTCATTTTTCCCACAGAGCCACTGGGTGGGTTAGAACAGCCAAACTTCTGATTAGCAACCAAGCATTTAACCATTGTGCCATCAGGCCTTCTTACTTCTCCCCTAGTGGTATAGGTTTATCTTGAACATTGAGCCATGTTGCCAGGCCAAGAAATTAGGAGCTCAGTTGTATTTTGTTTGGTTTTTCAGTAATCATTTTGAGTCTCCATTAACTTCCAGAGGAGCCCTGGTGGTGGTGTATTAGGTTACGTTACCAGCATTGGGCTGCTAACCACAAGGTTAGTAGTTCAAATCCACCAGCTGCTCTATAGAAGAAAAATGAGACTTTCTGCTCCCAGAGTTTTACAGGCTCTGAAACCCTTTACCGGGGTTACTGTGAGTTAGAACCTACTCAACAGCACACAGCAGTTAGCTTTCAGTAATGCAGAAAGAGGAATGGCATTTGGATCATTCTGTTTTTTCCTGTGTACTTCCTCGTCACCTTGGATTCCTTAGCATCTGACTGACTGCTGTATGAGGCTAGGGTGCACTACTCTCAGGGCTGCATGGTGTACACCCTTGACTTCAGGTTTAGGAGCAAAGTCTGAAAGGAATGAAAAGTTTAACAAGAAAAATTAAAAAGCGATACAGCTATATTATATATTTAAATAAACCATTCATTGGCTTTGAAATTGAAAGGCCACAGATATGTGGTTTCACAAATGGAGAGAGTTAAGTTAATCTGTGATTGATAGCATAGTATATAACTAAAGCATGAGAAAGCTTGCCATCTTTATGGGGGAATAATAGGTAGATCTTTTTGAAAGAATTAGGATTTTTGTATATTTTGGGGCTAGATACATAGATCAGGCTGTGGAATATTTTGAGTGCTATTTGGACTTTTAATTTTAGGTGTTGAAGCATTTTGAGAAGAGTGAATGGTGTAGTAATATTAAAATGATACTATGGTAGAGTGTAGGAAGCAATATCTTTTTCATGGCATTGAGTAAGAGTAAAGAGTGCATATGTGCAGTGCCTTATAGTCTTGAATTACTCTGGTGTTGGTGAGTAGGTAAAATACTGATGACTAGAGAAACTTTGAAGAAATTTTTGAGAGATCTCTGACTGGATATAGAACTTCACTCTCCCGCACAGTAACTGCTAAACCACATGAAATTTAAAATGCTGTTACTTAGTCAGATTAGCCAGTGTCAATAACCATACCTTTAATGTAGTTACTGTATTAGACAGTATGTTGTTGCTGTTGTTAACTGCCGTTGTGTCTGTTCCAACTCATGGCGACCCTGTATAGAGTTTCCAAGGAGCCGCTGGTGAACTTGACCTGCTGCCCTTGCAGTTCAAACTGACCTTGAACTCCAGTGCATTATCCCACAGCACCACTCTAGGACTCCATTAGATAGTATGTTGTTTTTAAGTGCTGTGGAATTGATTGCAACCCATACCGACCCTGTATAGGGTTTCCAAGGAGCAGCTGGTGAGCTTGAACCACGACCTTGCAGCCCTCAAATGACTTTGCCGTCTGACGCATTAGCCCACAGCACCATTCAAGTACTCCATCAGGTAGTATAGATATAGAAAATTTGTTTCTCATAGTTTTATTGGGTAGCACAGTTCCAGAAAGCCACAGATAGATGCTATAAAGAAATACATTTCTAATTTCTAATTTAGGAAAACCATGATCCATCAACTCTTAATTAACCTTATTTGGCACTGCAGGATAAGCATTGGACTGTAAGGTCTGTTTGAACCCCAAGGTTGGCAGTTCAAACCTCACCTATTGCTCCTGGGAAACCCTATACAGGGTTGCCATGAGTGGGAAACCACTGGATGGCTCTTAACAACAACAAAAAATGGCATAGCAAATGACAGTTTAACAGTTTATATGCATATAGTTAATTCAGTGATGTTGATTACATTTCTTTGAATTGTGCAGCCATTCTCACCTCCTTTTCTTGAGTTGTTCCTCCTGCCACTCACATAAATTTACTGTTGTCATCTAAAGTTGCTATTCCAGTCTTTTGAGTTGCTGTTGTCATTTTGATAGTCTTAGAGCATAATGTTTAAGGTAGGCATTCTTTATTAGGTAAGTTTAAGATGGCTTCTAGAGATATTTTTAATTTG